GCCCGTACGTCATTCGCACTAGTGCTCGGGCTGGTCAGCCTTGCGGGACGGTTGGTCACACAGAGTCCCGCTGCTTCTCCTCTCTGAGCGACGCCTGGCGTACAGAGTTTGGCAACGACGCTGAGCTCCCCTCCTGGCTGGGGCTACTTAGGCAGAGGGTAGATATCTTTGCTCTTGACATGGTGATGCTATCGTCACTGCCATGTATGCATTGCCTACTAGTGCTGCGGGTGCCTGTTACTTGTGTGTGCCGCCTGACTCAGGTATAGAGTCTTCTGCTCTAGTTGCTGGTGAGGCTGCTGCTCTAGGTGCTGGTGCGTCTCCTGCTCCAGGTGCCGGTGAGGCTCCTACTCTAGGCGCTAGTGAGTCCACTGCTCCAGGTGCTGGTGCGTCTGCTCTCTCTGGTACTGCGCCTGCTGCGGCCTTGCACACTTTCACCCTTGACTCGGGTGCTTCCCGCTCCTTCTTTCACGACTGCACCACACTCTCGCTGTTCAGTCGGCCAGTGGCAATCTCTCTTGCTGACCCCTCTGGGGGTCCGGTCCTTGCACACTCCTCCACGGTTCTGCCGTGTCCGGCAGTCCTGTCTAGCTCTCTGTCTGGCCTCCACCTCCCCTCGTTCTCCACGAACATGGTGAGCGGAGCTGACCTTCAGGATGCGTGGGTTGACCAGTTCACTCCTGGAGGTCAGCGGGTGACCCACTGTTCGTGTACTCGGACGAGCCGGCACCTGGCCACGTTCTCCCATTAGCCTGGGTCGAGTCTGTACACTCTAACTACCGTGTCTCCTCCGGTTGCTGAGTCTTGTCAGGTAGCTGCGTCGGGTCAGGTGTTTGCTGCAGCGTCCCGGTCAGGTCTTGAGTCTGCCCCCTGCTCGTGTCGCCTCCTGTCTCACCAGACTCTCCTCTGGCACCACCGCCTTGGTCACCCCTCCCTGCCTCGTCTCCGAGGCATGGCCTCCCGTGTCCTTGTCACTAGTCTTCCCCGGTCTCTCCCTCCCCTTCCCCCAGGGCCTGCCCCTACCTGCGCTCCTTGCGTCGAGGGGCGGCAGCGCGCCGCTCCTCACTCCTCCGAGTTCCCTCCGACGGAGGCTCCCCTGCAGACACTTCACATGGACGTGTGGGACCCAGCCCGCGTCCGTGGCCAGGGTCACGAGCGCTACTTTCTGCTAGTCGTTGACGTCTACTCGCGTTACACCACAGTCTTCCCCTTGCGCCGCAAGGGTGAGGTCACTGAGGTGCTGATCGACTGGATCCGCGCTGCCCGTCATCAGCTCAGCGAGAGTTTCGGCTCGGACCTTCCTGTTCTGCGTCTGCACTCCGACAGAGGTGGAGAGTTTTCCTCCAACCTTCTGCGAGCCTTCTGTCGTGCGGAGGGCATCCGCGCAGCTCCTCCAGAACTAGCAGGGATAGAACCAGCACCCCGAGTGGCAGCTCCAACTCCAGCAGCACCACCAGCTCCAGCAGCACCTCCAGCAGCACCAGAAGCGCCAACTCAAGCACCCACAGGAGCACCAGCCCCAGCAGCACCTCCAGCTCCAGCACCTCTAGCAGCTCCAGCTCCAGCAGGACCACCAGAAGCCCCAGCAGCGCCAGCAACTCCAGCTCCAGTGCCTCGAGCAGCACCTGCCCCAGCAGTACCGCCAGCTCCAGCACCTCCAGCAGCTCTAGCTCCAGCAGCACCACCAGGCCCAGCACCTCCAGTACCTCCAGTACGAGCACCTCAAGGACCCGAGGCCCCAGAACCCCCAGCAGCTCAGGTAGCAGCAGGACCTCCAGCAGCAGCAGGGCCTCCAGCGCCCGGAGAACCACCAGCTCCAGCAGCACGGCTCCAGCGCTGAGCAAACCACTTGCGCAGCTGCCATGCAGAGAGTGGCTCCCGCCGGGACGAAGCACCCGAAGGACCTCCAGGCTCAGCACCGCCAGACTCCACATGAGCAGGCCCAGCACCCTCAGGCTCCGCACCCCCAGTCTCAGCAACCCCAGGCTCAACACCCCCAGACTCAGCACCCCCAGGCTCAGCACCCCCAGACTCAGCACCCCCAGGCTCAGCACCCCCAGACTCAGCATCCCCAGGCTCCGCACGCTCAGGCTCAGCACCCGCAGGCTCAGTACCCCTAGCAGCACCAGAGTCAACAGCTACCTCGATAGGCTCGACTGCGTCTACCTGGGACACACCTGAGGGGGCAGGACCCTGAGGGGGGAGGGGGTCTACCGGGGGAGGACCTGGCGCGAGGAAGAGCGGCGGGGGGGGGGGGGGAGGGGGGCAGTGCGGTAGGGGAAGAGACGGTAGTAAGGAACCGACTCGTCAAACGTGACGTCCTGAGAGGACAAAACACGACGCGAGGTGGGGTGGTAAAACTGCCAACCAGGCGCGTCAGGGGGGAAGCCAAGGAAGACGCAGGGAACAACACGGGAGGACAGCTTGTCCGCAGACAAGTCGCGGACGAAAGCTCGAGATCCCCAGACACGGAACGCAGACGCATCGCCCACCTTCCCCGTCCACCGCAAAGTAGGTGTGGTCTCCAGCATGGAGACCCGGGGTTGGGGGTTGAGCTGATGCGCCGCATACTGAACCGCGAACGGCCACAGAAAATGGGGAGCAGCCGCATGGATCATGGACGTACGAGCGACATCCATGACCATGCCAATGCGGCGCTCAGCAATCCCATTTTGCTGCGGAGAGGCCGGAAGCGTGAACGTCTGGCGGATGCCCTCCGCACGACAGAAGGCTCGCAGAAGGTTGGAGGAAAACTCTCCACCTCTGTCGGAGTGCAGACGCAGAACAGGAAGGCTCGCAGAACGTCTGGCGGATGCCCTCCGGCCACTGCTGCGTCTGCCTTAGTTGCTGAGCTTGTCGAATTTGCTGCTCACTGTCGTCTCGACTACGCCGCTAGTCTTGTTGCTGAGTCTGCGTCTGTCTGTCCTCCGTCCGTCAGGGGGTGAGTGTGCTCTTGGCACGGACGTCCTTGAGGACAGGCAGGAGGACTTTGAGTGCTTTGCAGCCGCTATGCCTCTTCTCGTGTCCATGCTGATTGCACCTGAGGGAGACACGGATGCACCAGACATCCCGACCCCGCGCTCTTACGCAGAGGCGATAGAGGGTCCCTACTCCTCTCAGTGGCAGTCAGCCATGGACGCAGAGATGGCATCCTGGAAGTCCACAGGCACTTACGTCGACGAGGTTCCCCCTCCTGGGGCGAACATCATCAGTGGCATGTGGATTTTCAGGGTGAAGCGGCCGCCGGGTTCTCCGCCTGTCTTCAAGGCGCGTTACGTTGCTCGAGGCTTCAGTCAGCGACAGGGAGTTGACTTCTTTCAGACCTTCTCCCCCACCCCGAAGATGACCACTCTTCGGGTTCTGCTACACGTCGCTGCTCAGCGTGACTACGAGCTTCACTCTCTTGACTTCAGCATTGCTTTCCTACAGGGCAGCCTACACGAGGAGATCTGGCTGCGCCGCCCACCTGGCTTCACTGGGTCGTTTCCTCCTGGTACCCAGTGGTGCCTCCGGCGGCCAGTCGATGGTCTCTGCCAGGCGCCCCGATAGTGGCACGACACACTGAGGACTACGCTTGCGGCTCTCGGGTTTGCTCCTACTACTGCTGACCCGTCGCTGTTTCTGCGCACCGACACTTTGCTGCCGCCGTTCTACATCCTCGTGTACGTCGACGACTTGGTCTTTGCCACTGCTGATACTGAGGGACTCGCCCACGTGAAGTCGGAGCTGCAGAAGAGACACACGTGCACAGACCTGGGTGAGCTGCGCAGCTATCTTGGCTTGCAGATCACGCGGGACAGAGCACGGCGCACCATTACCTTGACTCAGTCACACATGGTGCAGCAGGTCCTTCAGCACTTCAACTTCACGTACTCCTCGCCTCAGGCCACTCCTCTGTCTACTCGCCACTCGCTCTCAGCTCTGCCTTCGGATGAGTCCGTAGAGCCAAGTGGCCCATACCCAGAGCTTGTTGGCTGCCTCATGTACTTGATGACCTGCACTCGACCTGACCTGGCTTACCTTCTCAGCATCTTGGCACGCTATGTTGCTCCTGGGAGACACCGACCAGAGCACATGGCTGCAGCTAAGAGGGTGTTGCGCTACCTGTGCAGTACGTCGGGCATGGGGCTCGTGCTTGGAGGACGGGCTCGAGTTGTCCTCACTGGTCACGTAGACGCTTCTTGGGTTGACGACTTGGCTACGCAGCGGTCGTCACAGGGTTACACCTTCAGCCTTGGTTCCGGCTCTGTTTTGTGGCGGTCTACCCGCTCGTCTTCTGTTCTCGGCTCCAGTTGTGAGGTTGAGATCTACGCTGGGGCCATGGCTGCACAGGAGTTACGCTGGCTCACCTACCTGCTGACCGACTTGGGAGAGGCGCCTCGTTCTCCTCCAGTTCTGTACGTCGACAACAAGGCCATGCTGGCCTTGTGTCAGGAGCACAGACTTGAGCACAGAACGAAGCACATTGCTCTGCGCTACTTCCTTGCTCGAGAGTTGCAGCAGCGTGGTCAGCTTCGTCTTGCTTACGTGGCCTCTCGGGCCAACACTGCTGATATCTTTACCAAGGCACTTCAGCCTTGTGGTCATCAGCGTTTCTGTACTATGCTAGGTCTTGTGCCTACCGGGCCTCACTTGCTTACCTCTTGACTTTGTTTGTACTGTGATCTATATATACCTGCACCTGCATGCTTACCCTTGCTAGGTTGAAATCACTGTCTTGCTTGTTCACCTTGCTTTATAATCCTGCATGTGAACTGGCCTTGTGGCCTTGAACTGGTGCTCAGAATGTGTGGTGACGTTGTGATGCACCCTGAGCTTGACCTTGCCTTGTTCTCTTGCTTGTCCCCCACTTTGCCTATGTGGGTGTGTCAGAACTATATTGTAGGCTGCAGTGGGGTAGACAATATGGGGTACAACTCTTTTAGGTTTTCATACTTGTACCCACCTGCTTGCTAGTTCATTCATTCCTCGTTCTTATTCTCACACAGATGGCGACACAGATGGGAGCAGACGCGACTACCACAGAGCTCGTTCTCAAATCCAACGTAGAGCTCACGGCGTGAGTTCCCCGTCAATCCACGTCTCCACATGTCGCCACTTGTATGCTTGCCGCTTCATGCCAGGAACGGTTGATTGGTTCCGCATACATGTGTATGCTACCACGCCTCCATCACCAATTTAATATGCTACCCGTCCCATCAAGCAGGCCCTATGCCACCATGTGCATTATCACATCATTATTTGATAGTAAGTTCAAGAAATCTCTCTCTCACCTCTTGCTTGAGTCAACTGAACATAATATTTCTTTTTCCTACTCCCCTTCCCACTCGCTCTTCCCCCTTCCCCCTTCCTCCCCTTCTCCCCCCAACAGCCGCCTCCCCGCACTCTCAGGCGCGGCCAAGCTGACGATCAAGGGCGCGTGCGGATCCACCGGGTAGGTAACAGGGTTGGGACCATCGTTGCACCCACCATGCCATCGTCCTCGTCATCGTCTCGTCCATCTCTCCAACCCGCTTCGTTCTGTTCTTCGCGCATCTCTTCCCTCCCCGTTCCCCAGAATCGACAAGTGCATCATCAGCGGGCGTGGCGCCTTCCCCATATTCACCTCCCCCTCGACAATCAACACGGCGGGGCTGTTGACTCTGGTCAACCTCACCTTCCAGTACGCGCTGGGAGGCGTCTTTTCCAAGGTGCTGACGCCAGTCAACGCCAGTCAATGCAATTTTGCCCACAACATAGCTGCTGCTGATGCTGGCGGAGGGGTGCTCAGGTGAGAGGAGTGGAGTGCTGGGGGGGAGTTGAGAGAGTGAGAGGGGTGCTCAAGCGAGTGTGTGTGCAAGGTGCAGTTGAGAGTGTGTGTTTGTGGTGCAAGCGAGAGTGTGTGTGGTGCAAGTGAGAGTGTGTGTGGTGCAAGTGAGAGTGTGAGTAATGCAAGTGAGAGTGTGTGTAATGCAAGTGAGAGTGTGTGTAATGCAAGTGAGAGTGTGTGTAAAACAAGTGAGAGTGTGTAATGCAAGTGCGAGTGTAATGCAAGTGAGTTTGTGTGGTGCAGGCTCCTCCCTGCGACAGCCACCCAACCCTCCCTCCTCCCTCCCTCCCTCCCTCCCTCCCTCCCTCCCTCCCTCCCTCCCTCCCTCCCTCCCTCCCTCCCTCCCCTTGTACTGTCTCCCCAACCTAACCCAACCCAACAGAGACAACATCACAATAATGCCCGTGCCTCCCAAGCGGCTCTTCACGGGTTGCATCTTTTACAACAACTCCTCGCCCGCCCTGGGGGGTGGCGCGGTCAACATAGACGCCCACACCTTCAACGCCACCGGGCTCACTGACCGCGTGCCGGCTCTCACCTTCCTGCGCTGCCGCTTCAAGGACAACAGCGCGCCGAACCACCTGGGCGGGGCGGTTAGGGTGGCGGGGACGGCCAGGCTGCGGTTCGAGGATTGCGTGTTCGATGGGAACAACGCTGGTGAGTGTGTGTGAGTGTTCAAGGCCTCGAAACCGCCACTGTCAACACAGCATCTACCGTACCCTCCCTCCATCACCCCTTCATCCATTCTCCCCTCCACCCATCCAAGTGTTTCTGGGGGAGCCATATACGCTAAAGACGCCGCCTTCACTTTTGTTAGACCCACCCTAAACTACAACAAGGCTCTCGGCACCTCCACTCTCAACACCATCACCGCCGGCGAAGGCGGTGCGGCCTACGCCGCGGCCACGGGACGCAACCCCGAGGCTACGGTGTGCTTCTGCTCGTCGGCCTTCCAGTCAAACACTGCCAAGTATATGGATGGCAGCACGCTGTACATGGAAGCAGGCTGGGTGGGATCGCAGTGGGTGGCGGTGCTGTCGATTTGCGACAGGAGCAAGCCGAGTGCGTCAGTGGTGCCCACGAGTGGATGGAAGCTGGTGACCGGCTGCCCCGCCAGGTGAGGAAGCAGGCTGGCCGGGTAAATGGGGAAGAGTGGGTGAGCGTCAGTGCTGTGGGAATGGGTGGAGCAGGCTGGCACGGTTGGTGGTACCCATGAGTGGGTGGGAGTCAGTACCTCGTGTAGCACTCAGCCCGCTACCCACACTCACCTTCTACCTCATGCTACTGCCCCCTTCCTCATGCATGACTTGTGTTTTTACGGCTCTCCTCATGCTTTTCTATCCGCAACCCCTCTGCTGTCTCCCATCCATCTCTCCTATTTCCTCCGTCTAAGCAGCACCTGTAATGCTTGAGCCCGGCATGTCACCCTTTGGCTTCGCCGGCTCCTCACTTCATAGTTCACACTCACCAGTAGTCATGCTTCTGAGGCTTGTGATCGTAACGAGTACGTACCTAAAGACCTTTGAATCTCGAATACCATACCTTCAAGTACATAACAAATTCCCTAATCCTAAGGCCCAACTGCACTAGCAGCAGATTAGGAAGGACACATTGAATAATGATATCCGCTGAGGGAAGAGTGTTCAACCTGCAGGAGATGAAGTAGTAAAACTTGGAAAAGCTTGTTGCTGCGGCTGCAGGGGTAGCGGGGGAAAGCCCAGAAGCAGGGATGCAAGAGATGGAGGTAGAAGAACACTTCATGAAACAATTACAGGTGGAGATGGTGATGGTGAATAATTATTTTCGCTTTCAATTATGGGGGTGATTTGTGGCCGATGCCTCACGTGCTGGCGAAATTTGTGGTGGGAATCGTTTACGCGTTACACCTATTCGCAGTCGCCAGGAAACGCGCTAAGGGCGGAAAATCGGCTTGGTCGTTACACAAACCTCAACCTGGGAAAAATCACGCGACTCGACGGTTTTCATAATTGTGTCAATCCGGTCGACCACTCGTGCACCACGTCAGCACAATTTTGAATTCCAAAAATCCGATCGACCCACCCCTTTTCTACACTTGTAGGCACGAATTGGTCACTGTGTCGCAAGCATTACTACTGCGTTAGGGTTTCTCGAATTTACTAGGTTTGTGGGTGGCAGTTTCTGTCCCGTGTTGCATACAATGATTACGCGTATATGTTGGTCTCTGCAAGTTGAGCGTTTGAGGACAAGTTGCTAATCGATGTGGTTGTTGGCGTTTTTCCCGCGCTGCTCAGGGTTGTCAGATCAACCACGAATCCCACAGCAGTAACACTTCTCGAGCATTCACGACAATTTAGGACTCATGCATGAACCTTGGCGAGAGTGGTTTCGATCCTTCCTTACCAAGGAACGATGGTTTCGATCCCTCCTTACCAAGGAACGACAACCTCTGAGCGAGTTTATTCTCGCAGGCTCTTTGACAATAACGCTCGTTAGGTAGTAGGGCCATGTGTTACGGCCATGGCGTCTCTGCCCGGGCTGCAAGCCCTCCGCGCAATGCATTCTGTGAGCGATTTCAATCCACGTTTACAAACACCCAACGACAGCGCACCACTTGCGCTAGGCCACCTCTACTCATCACGAGACAAATGTTTTGAGGCCATGCAGGAATACGCGCTCTACCACCGGTTTGGCTATCATGTTCTGATGACGAAGCGGCGTGCGGTTGTAGTGGGCTGTAAAGCGACTGCAGATGGAATGCTTCCACCATGCCTATGGTGCTGTCCATACGCGGTGGATCGTGAAACGGAATACTGGCGCATTACGTCCCTCGTACCGCCCGAGGCTCATACGTGCAAGATGGAGTGGCGGCAGGAATATGCGCATGAGATTGTGAACAAGTTACCAGTGATGATGCGAGCTTATGGCAACATGCTTCGCGCCGAACCCTTCGTGCCGCCGATCCAACTGATGCGACTCATGGAAGGATTAGGGGGGTGGGAAATCAACTACTGGCAGGCCTGGCGACTGCGAGAGTACATCATCAGGGAGAAATACGGGGACTGGAAGGAGTCTTTCCGCCAGGTTCCATGGCTTGTGGACCGGTTCAAAGTTATTGATCCAGGGGTGAAAGTGCATCTGGACACCCTCGGTCGATGCTTTCACCGCTTCTTTGTCCGTCCATCTGCAGCCGTTCATGCACTACGATTCTGCCGCCCAGTCATTGCTTTTGACGGGACTCGTCTTATCAGCATGCAGAAGGCAGTGCTGCTGGTCGCGGTCACGCTCGATGGCAACCAGAAGGTCTTGCTGCTAGCTTGGGGTCTCGTGGAATCGGAGAACAAGGAGGCTTGGTCGTGGTTTCTCAAGCATTTCATCGACGGCTTTCCAGAACGGACGCATTGCGAAAACGCCTCCATGATCAGCGACAGGGACAAGGGGTTAGTTCCTGCTGCTCGTGAGGTGATGACAAGTCACTTCCCGCATTACTTCTGCGCGTGGCACCTCGAGCAGAATCTGAGGCGGTTCAAGGAGAAGGCGCAGGCCTTTTATAAAAGGCTGGTGAAGTGCCGCTGCGAGACAAAGTGGATCGCCCTCGACGCGGCATGCAGACGCGACTTTCCCGAAATGTCGCTTTACCTCTTTGGCCCGGAGGTCCAACCGGCTGCGAACGTTCCCCTTCCACCCGATGCACGCCCACCCCCTAACGCGCGCTCGACCTATGCTACGGCGAGAGCATAGGTCTTCGAGGCTGGCCGGGATGGACGACGAATGGCTCGAAACGCGCGCCAAGGACATGCTACTAGAGGCGCAAGTGGCTCCTCGCAGCAGCCAAGTGGGTTCGGCGTACCAGGAGCCGGCACTGCAAGTTACAACAGGAATGGTGGCGGACTCGCAGGGAGAGGCGGCATGAACGCTCCGAACGTTGAAGTGTTAGGCAGAACATTCAGAGGTGGGCCGGGCAACACGGTGACGAGTGGGGCCAGGGGAGTGCGGCTTATGGCCATGGTTCAGACGGTGGTATCAGGGGTGGCGGAAGTGGTCACGGCAGGCCGGGCCCTGGCGCATTCCAGTTCGGGGGTGCTGGTTTAGGGGTGGGAAGTGGGCGAGGCTTCGGAAGGTATGGGACGAGTGGCAGCAGAGGGTTTGGCCTAGGGACTGGTGCTGGGGGCGTTCCGCCGTGGGCTGGACAGGGCGTCGGCGGGGGTATGAGCGCAGACAACGCCGGGCAAGGGGGTCGCACAGCCGGAGATGAGATGCCAGGGTCTCGTGTGCATGACTACGCGGAAGAGGCTCCAGGAGGCTTAGGCAACGACACTCAGGGAATAGTTGAGATGGGTTTGGGGACGCAGGAATCCACGGCAGGGATGGGGGGGTTCGGCATGGGAGTGGGGACTGGAGGAGGAAATGGAGGTGTGGGCATGGGAGTGGGGACTGGAGGAGGATTTGGGGGTGTGGGCATGGGATTGGGAACTGGAGGAGGGGTTGGCGGTGTGGGCATGGGAGTGGAGATTGGAGGAGGAGTTGGGGGTGTCGGCATGGGACTGGGGACTGGAGGAGGATTTGGGGGTGTGGGCATGGGAGTGGGAACTGGAGGAGGATTTGGGGGTGTGGGCATGGGAGTGGGGACTGGAAGAGGATTTGTAGGTGTGGGCATGGGAGTGGGGACTGGAGGAGGGCTTGGCGGTGTGGGCAGGGGAGTGGAGATTGGCGGAGGATTTGGGGGTGTGGGCATGGGAGTGGGGACTGGAGGAGGATTTGGGGGTGTGGGCATGGGAGTGGTGACTGGAAGAGGATTTGGGGATGTGGGCATGGGAGTGGGGACTGGAAGAGGATTTGAGGGTGTGGGCATGGGAGTGGGGACTGGAGGACGGCTTGGCGGCATGGGCATGGGAGTGGGGACTGGAGGACGGCTTGGGGGCGTGAGCATGGGAGTGGGGACAGGAGGAGGGCTTGGCGGTGTGGGTTTGCAAGTGGGGAGAGGAGGAGGGTTTAGAGGTGTGGGTGTGCAAGCGGGGAGTGGAGGAGGGATTGGAGGTGTGGGCGTTGTAGTGGGGAGTGTAGGAGGGAGTGGTGGTGTGGGTGTGCAAGTGGGGAGTGGAGGAGGGAGTGGTGGTGTGGGCGTTGTAGTGGGGAGTGTAAGAGGGTGTGGTGGTGTGGGTGTGCAAGTGGGGAGTGGAGGAGGGAGTGGTGGTGTAGGCGTTGTAGTGGGGAGTGTAGGAGGGAGTGGTGGTGTAGGTGTGCAAGTGGGGAGTGGCGGAGGGAGTGGTGGTGTGGGTGTGCCAGTGGGGAGTGGAGGAGGGAGTGGTGGTGTGGGTGTGCAAGTGGGAATTGGAGAACAGACTGGAGGTGTGGGCGTTGGAGTGGAGAGTGTCGGAGGGAGTGGTGTATAGCCTGTGCAAGTGGGGAGTGGAGGACAGACTGGTGGTGTGGGTGTGCAAGTGGGGACTGGAGGACAGACTGGCGGTGTGGGCGTTGGAATGGGGAGTGTAGGAGGGACGGGAGGTGGTGGCGTTGTAGTGGGGAGTGTAGGAGGGAGTGGTGGTGTGGGTGTGCAAGTGGGGAGTGGAGTCGGGACTGGAGGTGTGGGTGTGCAAGTGGGGAGTAGAGTCGGGACTGGAGCTGTGGGTGTGCAAGTGGGGAGTGGAGTCGGGACTGGAGGTGTGGGTGTGCAAGTGGGAAGTGGAGTCGGGACTGGCGGTGTGGGCGTTGGATTGGGGAGTGTCGGATGGGTTCCAACGGCAGGAATGCCCGGCTACAATGTGGGCAGTGGTGCTGGAACAGGGGGGGGCTTTCGCTACGCTAACGTAGGCATGGGATGGGTGAGCGGTGATGTGGATGTAGGGTTGGGCTTAGGCATCAATCACAGTGGTCAGAGCCTGAGTGTGGTGGTGAGGAACGTGGATGCCAGGGTGGGAAGGGGGCCAAGGGTGGCACCGGAGATTATTGAATATCCCATAGCTGAAGATGGGAGAGATGATGTTGGGCATTCCATGAGCAGCGGAGTCCCCACAGGTGGCTCGCCAGAGCCCACGCGCCCCAGTGCGCCGTTCAGCCTGGCGGGAAGTGGGCGGAGTTCTCGTCAACCGTACAGCGCCAACGCAGTCGATACCGGAGTCAACGATGAACCGCCGCGCCGGCGACGTCGCGATTAGCGCTCTTCTGCGTTTGACGAGGACGGTGGGGATGAGTTGCACACTGGCCTCACGCAGGTTTTGGCACTGCCGTGGCCTGATACCGAGGCTAATCGTGATGCTCAGCATTCTGGGGCTGAAGAGCCAGGATTTGAGGGGGTGGATGACCCGGAGCCGGACGATGCAGATGGTGGGGATGGTGAGGAGGGAGGCATTAGCGTTCAGACGGGATTCCATCGCAACCGGATGGGATCGCGATACAGAATTGGAGGAATCCAACTACTGCACTGGGCTCGTCTGTTCGCACCCACACGTCGATACGGGATATACACGAGCAACGCAGCGGAGTCGCTTAATGGTGCTATGAAGAAAATCCGGATGCTGCCCCCAACGTGGTTGCTGGCGTCATTGTGGGACTGGTTCAGGGACAAGTGGGTGGAGCGTTACGAGGCAGTGTGGCGAAGGGACGAGCTGCTGACAGAGGGAGCGGCCACGAGGATGCTGATCAAGCGCACGAGGGCACAGGAGTACTGGTTTTTGGGGGGCACCAACGATGCCGGGACAATCCAGACTCAGGGCGGGGAAAACGAGACTGAATGGAGAAGTTACAACGTCAACCTTGTCACCCGAGCCTGTGAGTGTGGTAACTGGCAAGAGTACCAGTTTCCTTGTGCACATGCTGTTGCCATGTGCATTTTGAAGAGGAGGTGCCCAGAGGTACTCGTGTCTGACTACTACACTTTCCACACGCTCCGCATGACATATGCACCAACGGTCTGGGGGACTTGCGTGGACCGCTTGATACGCGAAGCCCCGTTGGCGTCAGCGGGTTTCTGTGACGCACCAGCACTGGTTAACACCAGACCTGGTCGTCCAGAGAACCACAACCGGTTCGAGGCCGCGGCCCATGCGTACAGGTGCGGGAGATGCCAGGAGCTTGGGCACAATCGAAGCCGGTGCCCTTGGAAATTCGGTTGGTACGCGCAAGGGAGAGGGGCTGGCCGAGGTGCAGGGCGTGGACGTGGGTCTGCTCCTGGGCAACGATGCGAGGGCTGCTGGTGCTGGTTCTGCTGCGGGGTTTGGTCCTGGCAGTGGAGCGGGAGCGGGTGCGGGCAGAGGTGCTGGGTTTGGGGCGGGGGTTGGGGCTGGCCTTGGTTCGGGCGCGCCGGCATGGAATGGTGCTGGGAGTGGTGCTGGGTTTGGTGCGGGGGTTGGTGATGGCCTTGGTTTGGGCGCACCGGCATGGCATGGTGCTGGGAGTGGTGCTGGATTTGGGGCGGGGGTTGGGGCTGGCCTTGGTTCGGGCATGCCGGCATGGCATGGTGCGGGCAGTGGTGCTGGGTTTGGTGCGGGGGTTGGTGCTGGCCTTGGTTCGGGGGCGCCGGCATGGCAAGGTTCGGGCGGAGGTGCTGGCGGGCTTGGTGAGGGGCTTGGTGGTGTAGATGCTGGCAATGCTGCGGGGCGTGGTGCCGGCAGTCGTTCCGGCCGTGGTGCCGGACGTGCTGCTGGGCGTGGTGCAGGGCGTGGTGCAGGGCGTGGTGCAGGGCGTGGTGCAGGGCGTGCTGCTGGGCGTGGTGCTGGGAGTGGTGCTGGGCGTGGTGCAGGGCGTGGTGCTGGGCGTGGTGCAGGTCGTGGTGCAGGTCGTGGTCCTGGTCGTGGTGCTGGACGTGGGCCAGCACGTGGGGCAGGACGTGGTGCAGGCAATGGTGCAGGAGTTGATGTGGAGAATGTTGCTGTGAGAAACGAGGACAATGGTGCAGGGATGGGTGGTGAGGCTGGTCCAGGGATGGGTGGTGAGGCTGGTCCAGGGATGGGTAGCGCAGTTGCCTAATGGGACTGCTGGGGGTGGTGCTGGGCATGTAGCTAGGCGCGGTGCTGGGAATGTTCAGAGTCTCATCAAAGTGTTTCTGCATCCCTGACCTTGACACTTATTTATGGGATAGGTGGACTATTTTTTGTTCCAAAATGTGGCTTCGTTGTTTCAACCAAGAATGCATCGCGTAGAAAAAAGGGTACGCAGTCTACATATCATTAAATTGCATTGACATCATGACCAATGCAACCCGTCATAAATCGTGGGATATAAAGTAGGGAGTGTTTCATACATTTGGACTCTTGCTACAGACGTGCAATCTTGGATCACCACAGTGAGTTCACTAATTTGGGCTCACGAAAGCACTCGTGGGTCTCGTGATGACTTCATGCGCAGTCGTGACGTCCGCGATATTTCGCACTAGTAATATCGGTGAACTACTGAAACGGCACGCACGTTCGTGGGTTTTGACCCCTGCAGTCACGAAGAATCACGCGGTTTCACAAGGCTGTGTCTTTATCTCACGTGATTTCGTGCACCCCAGGCGCGTTCACATGGATTTCGTGCATAAACGGACGCGAGATCGTGGTAACATGGCTTCAAAACAGTTGAATAATAGCAGTTTATGAGTAGAATCACCAAATGTGTTATGTGTTATAAGCTTTGCAATTGAAGTTCCACGTGCGGTGATTTTCGTGAATAACATGGCAGTGTATCCAAAATCAACACAAAACCAAAACACCAAATGACCCAACAGACACATACGAAAGCCCACATGAATATGGTACCGGTAACCCTAAAGCTCATTTGTCGTTGGCAAGCTTATGATTTTAAATGATGAATTTAGTACAAACCTAGGCGGAAACCCTACATGAATATTGTACATCTCAGTGTGGTAATGGCCACTAGGATAAGCTTGTGTCTTTTGGAACACAATTGGTTGGTAATGAGGGTATCTAGACATGGGAAAAGGCTGAGTGTACATAGTCTGTGATCACTACAATCCCGTTACCACAGAGTTTCAAAATTGGTGCTAAACCGAGCAGTGAGTAAATTGCAGGTATGATAAGCTTTCAGTTATACCAACAAGCCATCTTATACATCCTTAAACGACAACGCCCGTATAGACACAAACATCTAGGAGCTTGTCACCAGTCACCGGTTATTGGCATGAAAAGAGGCTTGGGACAAAAGACCAGCAAAGCTGGGTCAACGTGAGAAGATCATAATAATGCCTTTGTGGTTGTCGTTGCCAAGTGCTTGATTTTAGGGCGTTTAGGATCCCATCGTGTCTGTTGGCACACAGTTGTTTGGTAGTTGTTGGCTCTCGGATTTGAATTCTGGTGAATGGAGTATGTGTGAAATGATAACTAACTAGCAAATTTAGATCCAGAAAATGAGGTGTTGTACTCATTAACAAAGGTATTAGCTGGCCAAGCACTATAAGGGGGGTACACTATTCTTCACGGTCTTGGACGTGCACTCGAAAGTATCGCACTGCACCACTTCCGGTAGTGGCGTACATGCAGACACTCGCGACACAACGCCCGTAAATTCGATATCACGGGCTTCATACATTAGAGATGTCATGTTTAGGCCGCTCACGAACCTTGGTGAACGTGGTTCTGATCTTAGCAAATCGTGAAGGTTCATGAGTCGCTCACACAAAGAAACACGGATGTTCGTGTGTGTAAAGGTCACGTAACCAGAGCTAGTTTGACACTGTCATACGCCGACATCTTGGTCCCCCTACCAAGTCTATTGAAACACGCTAACGGCATCACATTAAAACAGCAAAATGGATCGTGCCCAGAGGAGGACAACAATCAAAACACACGAAATGGCAAACACCTCTACACATCGGTAGTAGACCAGTGCAGAGTCACGCAGCATCTTCACGAGAAGCTTCACCGTCGTTTGGTGATGCCCTTCCTGCGGGGGTTTTATGTGTAGAGACTTTAGTTAGTGAACCTGAGCACACGGTGAATGCGGCGAGGACTACATTAACACTACATTACCGACGTTTGAAGTGGCCCCGCCTGCATTGCCACCCTGAGCGGAGTCCATGGTGTCCTGTGTGGGCAAGGCGGTACATGCGGCGACAATCACATCAGCGGTAGTAGGAGCTGTTGCAGGTGCAGTGACAACTGCTGCCGGGGGGGCTATGACGATCCCCCTCTCCTCAGTCTCCTGGCGCCACCGCATCCAGCTGCCCTACGCTCGGACCCGGGAGAGGGCAATAACGTGCTGTGTAGTACAGCCTCTCAGAATCTCCTCCTCCTCAGGCAAAAGTGGGAGAACCCTACCGCCACTGGTTTGTCACGACGAACCACGTGTGCTGCCGCCGCAAACGCCTTAGCGGCGACGATCTGGTCTTCGTAAGACCCGAGCCCAATGGTGGTTGGAGCCTTTGGATCGGTTACCAGACGAGCGACCCACAGCCCATCACGCTGGAAATGAACACCGGCAAACCCAGATAGAGACCCGTCAGGTCCTTGACTTGTGTCTCGCGTGGCCTTCCATGCCCTGCCATCGCAGCCGAATTAACCTCGGACACGGCGCCCACGGGGACCATCTGGTTGCGCATCGGTACCTGCTCGAACGGTTGGGTGTTCACTAGCAAGTTCCTGACAATTGCCGACGCAGCGTGTCAAGGTATATATATGCTATATATGTTTAGGCTGTGGTGGGGTAGCCAATATGGGGTACAGCCCCTTTTAGGGTTTCATACTTGTACCCAACCCTTTCATAGTTCATCCATTCCTGCTGCTAGTTTCTAACATGGTTTCAGAGCACTAGGTCCGTAGGACCGTCTTTTTTTTCCGGGCCCACCTACCGTTGCGGTTACCACGCTACCCCACGTGTTGCCTGCCTTGCCTTGTGACGTGCTGCGCTACGCGCGCCATCCTGCAGCCCTCGCGCTGCCTACTGCTGCCCTAGGCCAGCGCGCCGCCCCTACAGGCCCGTAAGGCCCGCGCGCCGCCCCTGCAGACTCGTACGGCCCGCACATCGCCCCTGTAGGCCCGTCAGGCCAGAGCGCCGCCCCTCCTCGCGGCCACGACCTGTCACTGAAGCGGCCCCACCTGGCCCTGCCCTGCAGCGGCTCGCGCGCGGCTCGCTGCTGCTCCGCGTGCCGCGTCAGCAGCCCGCGCTGCGTGCTGCAGCCCCGCGCGTCGCACTGCAGCCCCGCGCGTCGCGCTGCAGCCTCGCGCGTCGAGCTGCAGCCCTGCGCGTCGCGTCAGCTGCCCGCGCGTTGCGCGCTGCAGGCCCGCGCGCCGCGGCTGCCCCTGTTCGTCGCGGCGCCCCCCCCCTGGACGTCGCCCCGGCCTGTCGCGACGCCCCTCCTCTGGACGCCGCCCCTGCCTGACTGCCGCTGTCGCTCCTGCAGCAGCTGCCGCGGAGCGCCTTGCCACAGTCGCGGCCCCGCCCTGCAGCAGCTGTCGTGGAGCCTTCTGCCGCCGTCACGGCCCCGCCTTGCAGCAGCTGCCGCGGAGCCTTCTGCAGCTGTCACGGCCCTGCCCTGCAGCAGCTGTCGCGGCCCTGCTCTGCCGCAGCTGTCATGGCCCCGCCGTCGCCGCCCGTCGTGCGCCTACCCGGCTGCCGCCCGCCGAGCGCCGGCCCTGACCGCCACTGGTGAGCACCTGCCATGTTCGCGCACTGTAGCGCCACCTGCCTGCCTGCCTGACTGCCGCGCCTGCCCTGCCCGCGCTGCTACTGCTGCTACTGCTGTTCCTTCTGTTACTACTGCTAGACTGCTGCTGCTGCTGATACTACTGCTACTGCTGCTACTGGCGGTGACCAGATGCAGCTCCAGCGACGTCCGCGCGAGTCTCTCACGCCCCAGCAGCTTCGTGAGTGGTACGCTAGTTGGGGTTGTGGCGGTAGCAGTCGTGGCTGTCGCCCTGGAGCTGGTCAGTCGGGAGCGTCTGGCAGTGGCCAGCTGCAACTGCAGCGGCGTCCGCGCGAGACACTTACGCCCCAGCAGCTTCGTGAGTGGTACGCTCAGAGTAGAGGGTCTTTGAGTACCGTTCGCTGCCCGTACGTCACTCGCACAGGTGATCGGACGGGTCAGACTTGCGGGACGCTTAGTCACACACAGTCCCGCTGCTTCGCCCGTCTGAGCGACGCCTGGCGTACCGAGTTTGGCGACGAGGCTGAGCTCCCGACTGGGTGGAGCTGCTTGGGCAGAGGGTAGATATATTTGCTCTTGAATATGATGCTATTCTCGCTGCCATGTATGCATTGCCTACTAGTGCTGCACGTGCCTGTTACCGGTGCGTACCGCCTGACCCAGGTATAGAGCCTGCTGCTCTCGGTGCTGGTGAGGCTGCTGCTCTAGGTGCTCGTGCGTCTCCTGCTCTAGGTGCTCGTGAGGCTACTGCTCCAGGTGCTGGTGAGTCTGCTCTCTCTGGTACTGCGCCTGCTGAGGCCTTGTACACCTTCACACTTGACTCAGGTGCTTCCCGCTCCTTCTTTCGCAACAGCACCACCCTCACGCCGCTCAGCCGGCCGGTTCCAGTCTCCCTGGCAGACCCCTCTGGGGGTCTAGTCCTTGCGCACTCCTCCACGGTCCTAACGTGTCCGGCGGTCCCGTCTGGCTCCCTGTCAGGTCTTCACCTCCCCTCATTCTATACGAACTTGGTGAGTGGTGCTGACCTCCAGGACCAGTGGGTTGACCAGTTCACTCCTGGAGGTCAGCGCGTGACCCACTGTACGTGCTCCCGGAGGCCGGCACCTGGCCACGTTTTCCCGTGCGCCTGGCTCAAGTTTGTACACACTGACTACTGTGTCCCCTCAGGTCGCTGCGTCTGCGTCTGCGTCAGGTCAGCTAGCGGCCCCCTGCTCGTGTCGCGCTTTGTCGCACCACACCCTCCTTTGGCACCACCGCCTTGGTCACCCCTCGGTGCAGCGCCTTCGAAGCCTGCACCGCCGTGTCCTTGTCTCTGGTCTTCCCAGGGTTCTCCCTCCCCTCCCACCCTCGCCTGCTCCTCCCTGTCTTCCCTGTGTCGAGGGGTCGC